CATGCCATTCAACTCCTATATGTGGACTTAGATGCCCTCTGCACTTTGCTGGTACTGGTATCCTTTATGGTCTCGAAACCTTACCTGTGTAACAGTCAGAGAACCCGATCAAAAGGAACAAAGATCTCCGATTCAAGGATTGGACACCAAAGCTAAATTTCGGTGAAGATGGCTTTTGCTACGAATAACAGGATCCACGGGAACTCGCAACAGGAGGCTTACCAAATAACGTCCACCTCTTGGGAACACATTAACCTCAGAGGCTCTTTATGAAGGCCATTTATAACTGTATTGGCATTAAACTTAAACGATTTGATTGAAATCTTTATTTTCGTCGTACTTTTAACTGAGCGGACTTTCTTAGTGACATGGTGCTTCTGTTCCTAATGCACCATGTGTGTTAACGAAGAATCTTCTCTGCGCCGATCCATCCAACTTTAATTATCATTTGATATAGTGGGTGTCATTGGATTCTTTTGACAAGGTTAGCATGAAGAAGATGGCCCTAATTTGTCGTATCTTTCATCTCATTTCTCCATCGTTTCTTACATAGTAAAAACTTGTTGTTTTTTCCCTGAGTTTACAGCTTGGTGCCCAATTAAAGTAAATATCACGTTTAGTTGACTATGCATTATCATTGGGGATACTTTGACACTCGTTTCGACGACTCACCTACTTTCTTAAGAAATGTAGTCCACTTGATCCCCTGGTAAATTCTTTTTTGAGTCTTCTTCCATCACCACTAAGCCTTAACAGTAAAATCTAAAATATGTTATTTGTAGCCCTTCCCACGTTGATTATAAAACGACAAGCTTGTCACGCAATAAAATATAAGGGGTTTGCCCTTATGAATTCGGTTATAACACAACACTCCTCGGATCTTAAAATCCATGTTTCCTCTGCACTTAAAACTCACTGAAATTTAGCCATGTTAGTCAATCACGGGATGATCATTTACGCTGCCAGCTGAAAACCTCAAGACTAATCTGTACCATCATCCCATACGGAAATAATTCGGTCGTCAAAAATTGCCTCAGGGTAGGATTATTTGCGTGTAAACTGCTGCGATATTTGATTGTAGGGAAGCCTAGATTGCATTATGTGGTGAAACGGCAATTGTTTAAGAGGTTATTTGGCAGTAGGAGCTCTTCAGTCTACGCGTAAATTGCAGCGATCTGCTCTCCAAACCTTTGGTCTCCTCTCCAATTAAGCAAGAATTTTTAGCTTCTGGCCACTTTTTAAAAGAAAGTATTAAACGTTTGAGAAGGCAGATACCTGCAGATGATGGCACAGATATCTGTGAAGAGTTCGGCACAATGGCCACAAATGGGGTGAGGCTGGATTTTTGCATTAATAAACCAATTTTAACGAACTGATGACTGTCAACACTACCACGCAACGATGGGTCCATAGGTTCTCAGATGCTATGACAAGCGATTGTTGTCCAAGATATGCTCACTACACAGCCTAATTAGATGAGATTACCTTAAGCTTTTATGGAACTACAAAAAGTGAAAACTTCAGCTTTTTAGAGCTCTCAGTTCTCTTTGAAATCTTATAAATTCGTGGTATATTTACTACTAAGGTACAGAAGGACTAGGGGTCATTGGCATGAGCCAGAGGCCATAATTTTGAACACTGGTGCAAACTGCGGCGACCACACCGACCTCGTGGTAAGATGCATGGGCTTGTCGTAACCTCTACTATAACTGCACAGATGGTTAGATAGCTAGGAGTTGACGAACACTCTCAGCAAAATTCGCTCAAAATGCCTTGCCACATCTAAGCTCAAATGTTTTTTAGCATTAAATTTAACGGAAGAGAGTGAGTAGAAGGATAGAAGGGAATGTAAGTAGTTATACACCACTGCAAGTTTAGCTAATAGAGCGTTTTTTTCCCAAAGGGAACGTTAGCAACTTACATTCCGGTCACTCATCTACTTCTTTATGAGTTGAAAGTAATCAATCTTCCGATCTATTCATTATGAATGTAAACCTAGCTCCACATGGGTGTTAAATATATTCAGAGCGAGGCTTTGTTTTAGTCCCGATAGCTACAGAGGAGGCTGAGGAATCATCTTTCATTTACTGCATCCAAGGTAGTGATTCCAGGCTTCATCGAACATGCCCTAAACAATTAAGCTGGAATACAGCTAATAAAGAATTATCGTCAAGCAGATAAGTGGTCGAACTTTCAGGCATCCAAAAGCCAAATCAACACCCTAGAAGCATCAGTACAAAGCACTGATAAAACTGCTACAATCTACTATATTGAACCAGGCGACCAGAACATTCTATGCAAATTTCAGGGCAGCCCGAGGCAATTAATGATTTTGACTTGTAGAATGCGTGTGAGTGTTCATGCGCTCTGTAGAGCACTGACAAGCGTCTGTCTATCTCCCCTCCTCAATGTGCCACTCTGTACTATCCTCCCTTTATTTGGAACCCAAGTATCATAAAATGGATGTGATTACGGATTTACTGCCTCGTTCGAATGGCCTGAATTGATGGAAAAGGCTCTTTAACTCAGACGATCATACATAAAGGCACGTGTGTCTGAATAAATTCCAATTATTTTCTTTTTGTGTAATGGAGGCAAATATCCCCGATTTCCGACAACATATGCTACTGAAGTTTATAAAAAAACAGAACTGTAATGAAAAGAAGGCAGATTCTGAAGTAGCAGATCCTCATATAAAGTGCCGTGATTAAGTGCAGTAAATGTATACATTAATAATTTATTGAATTTTATCTGATAGGCTGACCCCGGATGCGACCTCTTTTGAATATATCCGCCAGTTGCCCTGATGTACCGAATTGTTCCTTTTATTCGGGGCAACCAGAGGATTATTCACCTCATATGGTCCATATATATTTACTTTCGCAGGAAGAAGCATTATAATGACATCTAGAATATCTGCAAAAATTTTGTCCGAGAATTTTATAAATTATTCCTTCGTAATTATGCTTGGTCGGCTTTTCGTTGTTACGGGTAAAACGGACTAAGAATGATTCCTTCCACAACCACAGTTCAACAGACATCGATTCCGTCAAAGAAGGCTTAAAATCAGGCACGATAATGTATGATAGCTCATTTCGTGGTCGTTCTTC